CATCCCCCTGGTGGGCCCATTTTCTCTTTCCCTTCCTGAGTTAGGCATTTTTCATCAAATTTCAGTGCCACCAAACAGTCTTTTCTATATCAACCACAGTCTCTAATTGTCCAAATAGAGGATCTTTGGTCTAGTCTCTTGGTGCAGCAGCAGAGGACAATAGCCTTAATCCTTACCACTGCTAGCTATGAGGCTCTAAACATTTAGATTCCTGCAGCTGAAAATACCGTCAGACTGTTTTCATTTCACCTTAGTCTTTAGTTATTCTGTGTACCTTATTTAAAACTAGAGGGTTATGTACTTATCCAGGGTCAAATAAATGCATTAGCTGATTTTCCTGGGAAGAGCCCATAAGCTCTAGTTAGAGTTATTATTATGGCAATAAGTATCAGCTTTTATAGTAGCGTGTGTTTGTGTATTCAGAAAACCAAATATAACTGGTCTCCTTTGAGAAGTATTTATTTGTTAAGGGAATTGAGAACCATTTTAGATAAGGCTCATAGATTCCTTAGGATGCCTAAGAATTATCTTCTGGGCATGCCTAACATTTTTTTCTACCAAGACAGGAAGAGGAGCCAGGGCCCTAAGTAAGGACAGCTGAGTTCATGGAACTGGACTTAGAAGGGCCAAGGGACCTAGGACCACCAGATATAAATCATCATCCTTTTGCGGAAATGTGAAAGAAAAGCCAGTCCTTATCCCTTTTCCCCTCTCTCAGTTATCAAGAGATGATACTTTCTCAGTTAGTGGTGGGTCATAACCATAGAGTCTTGGAGACATCTGAAATAAAACAGGGATACCAAAAAAAAAAAACAACCAGCGATACTGGGCTTCCCTGGTGGCGCGGTGGTTAAGAATCCGCCTGCCAATGCAGGAGACACAGGTTCGAGCCCTGGTCCGGGAAGATCTCACATGCCGCAGAGCAACTAAGCCTGTGCACCACAACTACTGGGCCTGCACTCTAGAGCCTGCGAGCCACAACTACTGAAGCCCGTGCACCTAAAGCCCATGCTCCGCAACAAGAGAAGCCACTGCAATGAGAAACCTGCACACTGCAACGAAGAGTAGCCCCGCTCTCTGCAACTAAGAAAGCCCATGGGCAGCAACAAAGACCCAATGCAGCCAAAAATAAGTAAATAAATTAATTAATTAATTTTTAAAAACAGGGATACCATATCAATCTCTCTTTCTTCTAAGAGGCCATTAAAATTCCAAACCTATGCCTCTTAGATAGAGCTTCAGCTCCATTTTACAACTTGAACACTTCTCATGAATAAAGGACCCTTTGTGATGCTGTCTTTGTTTAAAATATACTCTATCATGAAGAGAAGTAATTACTTTTGCCCCCTAAGATGAGAGCATGTATACATCCATGTACTGTAATAAAACTGAGGAATTTGAGGCTCAGAGAGATGGTCTTATCCAGCCACATGGCTGGTAAGTAGAGAGCTAGAATTTTGATTCTAAGTTTCATTGCTTCACTCTGGTGGGAAGTCATCACTTCCCTTTGCTTTTTGCTTATAGCACTTTCGAAGCTAAGAAATTAGCTCATCCTAGCAACTTACTTCTCAACAGGTTCTCAAATTTTCCTTTCCAAACACCATGATGACAAATAATATGATAGTCACTCAACTATTCTTTCCTATGAACTTTATACCTCAGTTCTTTCGTTAAGAAGACCTTTATCTTAGCAGCAATCCTTCTGTCAGAAAGTTACCACCAAGGTCTGTGTGGAATTTCTGTTATTCCCTTGCCTGCCTACACTAGAATATGAAAAGGCAAAGCTATTTTTAAGACTCACTAAGGGCCTCCTTTATATGTATAATCGATCAAGATGTTATCCTGCTTTCATTTATCAACCCTACTTTCATTAGGAATTAACCCTGCTAATGAACTTAGATGTAAAAAAATCTTTACATTTCTACTTAGGATTTCAAGCACAGCCAACTACTCAGTGTCCTTCAATAGGAACTCTGGGAGCCATTCCATTTTTGAAAGGATTCATTATAGCTTACTGGCAGACATTTTCCCTTCCACACAGAAGATGTCCTGTGCTCTTCGTAGTAGGCAATGTGATGTAGTAGAAAAATATTGATATCAGGGTAGACTAAACTGGATTTATATATTTTCTTTGCCTTAATAGCTTTGCCATCTTGAACAAGTTATTATTTGTTTCTATAATATCAAGATAATGGTTCTAATTATGGAACTGTCCTAGGAATCAATGAGGTAATGTCTGTAAATTATCAGTACAGTGAATATTAGCTTTCTTTTTTCTCCACTCCGTGTAGTTATATCCCTCAGGATAATAGTTGTAGCTTTTACAAGCAGCTTGAATACAGTGAGTCACCTGGACCTCACAGATGATTTTATGAAGTAAAATTGCTTGAACCGAGAGTCTTTCTGACTTGGTTTTATTTGGTTGTGCAATTCTAAAGAAGTCAGCCTCACCTTGACTTCCCTCCCTGCCTCTGGGTCATCATTCATTTGCTATTAGAGCCGTCAGGCTCATGTCTTTTGTGTTTCAGAATATCTCAGTGTTGCATGTAAAACCTATTCATTTCTGTGGGAGATGTCCCATCTTGCTGGTGGTTTCAGAATCCAACCTCCTCCCTATTAGGCAGTTCTAAACTAAGCCACCTTTAGTATCTTCTACTATCTCATCTCCAAACAAACCCTAAAAGGAACCTGTGGAAGCCCCCAATAAATAGCCTAACGTGAGAGCCATGTTTTTCCAGCAAGGCCAGGCTAAGAATTCCTAGGCCAGGACTAAAAGCTTCCAAAGACCCTAGGTGACATGAGAGCAAATTCTTGTTACTTCTGAAAAAAAATTAATCTTACTGATCAGTAAGGGATTTGTCTGAAATTGTCTTTACTTTTGCTGTATGTCCTTTTTTGTTTTGCTCCCTGAAACCAATCTTTAGTCTTAAATCCTCATTGCACTACAGTAAATACCTATTTCCCTGTTTACTATGACCTCCCGTTGACTACCTATCAAAAAAAGTCAGAATGGGAAGCAGAATTCAAAGCTTGCTGGTCAGGATGGTCAGGATGTTGAAGTGCTAGGCCATTCTGTAAAAGCAAGACTTTTCCTTTGCCTTGACTGTTGAAAATAGATTTTAAGAGAAAGAGGGTTGTTATTAGGAAACTGAGAAAAGCTTTAAAACTACTAGGAAGCCTCTAGAAAAAAGTATACAATTAATTTGATTTTTACACCGTATTATTTTGAGGAAGATGGAACAGTTTTGAAGAAAGGAATAATATATATAGTATAATGCCGTTGATTATACTGGAAGAGCTTTAAAATAAGGAATAAAAGAAACTTTAAAAATAAGAAAAATATTTTTTAAGATCTTTCATTTAAAAAAAATTATTTCTACCAGAGATAAAGAATACCATTTGTTTTTGTCCACTGACTCTTTAGGCTAGTAAATGAGCAGCTACAGCGGTCACTTGAGGACCATCAGCACCAACTTTCCATGAAAAGAAGTGAACTTGAATCAGCACAAGCACAAGTTAAAATACTGGAGGAAAAAATAGGTAAGTATTCTTCAATTTTGTTTTTGTGAATCCTAATTTACTTTGTCTAACAAACATTTCTTTTTCATTTATAGATAAACTACACTTCAAGATGACTTCACAGAATGAAGAGGCTCATGTAATGAAAAAGACCATTGGTGTTATTGATAAAGAAAAAGACATTCTTCAGGAGACTGTAGATGAGAAGACAGAAAAGATTGCAAACTTGCATGAAAACCTAGCTAATAAAGTATGTGACTGTTAAGTAATGTTATCCAGCATCTGAACAGAAAAGCTTATTTTATTCTCTGTTTTAGATATGCACTTCTTATCGCCTGTGTACAAGTTCCTAAGACCCAAAGCTGTATCTTCTAATGTGTTTAAATTTCATTTTATACCAATAATTTGAATCTTTAAAAGTTCTATTTCTAGAAGACAGTTTCATCATATATGATTATAGCAAACTCAAGGAACAATTCAAATTCTTAGTGGGTAGAAATATGCCAATATATGAAATATAATTGGTACATGGAAATATGTTTACTTGGAGGTTTCTTTTATAACATAATTTATATAATTGGATTTAAACTATATAAATGTGACATTGTATCAATTCAAATGAAGACATTTCTATATGAATGGTTTAGAATCTTACATATTTTTACAATTTCTATAGGAAAAAGCTATTTCTCAGATGAAGATAACAGTCTCAGAGTATGAATCTTCTATGAAGTAAGTAATCAATGGAACGGCATCCAGTTTTGTTTTGTTTTGTTTTGTTTTGTTTTTGCGGTACGCGGGCCTCTCACTGTTGTGGCCTCTCCCGTTGTGGAGCACAGGCTCCGGACACGCAGGCTCAGCGGCCACGGCTCACGGGCCCAGCCGCTCTGCAGCATGTGGGATCTTCCCGGACCGGGGCACGAACCTGTGTCCCCTGCATCGGCAGGTGGACTCTCAACCACTGTGCCACCAGGGAAGCCCCGGCATCCAGATTTTTTAGAAATTTTCAGTGAATGCAGCTTTATCTGTTTGAATAGCAATAGGAAAATTTCTTTTTCAATTTTCCAATTTTTATCAGTAGCAGTTATTTTCTCAGTCTCCTGCATGGAAATGTTATCCTCTTTAACTTTCTTCCCTCCTCTGTCATCCACATCTAAACAATTATGTCTTACTAATTATTCTTTTACATACCTACTTGCTCCTTATTTCTACTGTAATTACCCTGTGCAGGCCCTAATCATTAAAACTTAGATTACCCTAGTACCCAGTGTTGAATTTATTCCACATCTGAACCTTTTTGAACATGGTTACAAGACTTTACATTTTATGTCTGGTCTCTACTTCAAGACAAAAGTCACTGATTGTATTTATTTTATGCACCCTTACATATTATATAATAGTGGGGACTTAAACATTAAATAAGTGTTTGCCAATTGAATCGTTTATGTTCTGCTCCTAACACTTGAAAGTCTTCTGTTTTTACTTGACTTTTGGAATAATAAATTTATTTTATGACTTTATTTGCACGTAATGATTGGTAGAGATCTAAAATATCTGCTTCACCTAATTAATCAGTATCTTAATGCAGTAGTTGCAGTTTCTTTTTTTTAATTTTATTGCAGTATGGTTGATTTATAATGTGTTTATTTCTGCTATACAGCAGAGTGATTCAGTTATATATATATATTCTTTATCATATTATTTTTCATTATGTTTTTTTTTGTTTTTTTGGCTGCATTGGGTCTTCGTTGCTGCGCGCAGCCTTTCTCTAGTTGCGGTGAGCGGGGGTTACTCTTCGTTGGCAGTGCGCAGGCTTCTCATTGTGGTGGCTTCTGTTGTTGTGGAGCACAGGCTCTAGGTGCACGGGCTTCAGTAGTTGCAGTGCGTAGGCTCTAGGGCACGCGGGCTTCAGTAGTTGTGGCACGCGGGCTCTGGAGCACAGGCTCAGTAGTTGTGGGACACGAGCGTAGTTGTTCTGAGGCATGTGGGATCTTCCCGGACCAGGGATTGAACCTGTGTCCCCTGCATTGGCAGGCAGATTCTTAACCACTGTACCACCAGGGAAGTCTCCCATTATGGTTTATTATAGGATATTGAACATAGTTCCCTGTGTTATATAGTAGGACTTGTTGTTTATCCATTCTATAATACTAGTTTGTATCTGCTAATCCCAAACTCCCAATCCTTTCCTCCTCCAGCCCCCTCCCCATTGGCAACCACAGTCTCTGTCTGTGAGTCTGTTTCTGTTTCTTCGATAGGTTCATTTGTGTCATACTGTAGATTCCACATATAAGTGGTACCATATGGTATTTGTCTTTCTCTTTCTGACTTATTCGTTTAGTATGATAATCTCTAGGTCCCTCCATGTTGCTGCAAATGGCTTTATTTCATTCTTTTTAATGGCTGAGTAGTATTCCATTGTATATATGTACCACATCTTCTTTATAGATTTCACTGTCAATGGACATTTAGGTTGCTTCCATGTCTTGGCTATTGTAAATAATGCTGCTATGAACATAGGGGTGTGTGTATCTTTTCAAATTATAGTTTTGTCTGGGTATAGGCCCAGGAGTGGAATTGCTGGATCATATGGTAACTCTCTTTTTAGTTTTTTAAGGAACCTCCATACTGTTCTCCATAGTGGCTGTATCAATTTACATTCCCACCAATAGTGTAGGAGGGTTCCCTTTTCTCCACACCCTCTCCAGCATTTGTTATTTGTAGACTTTTTTTTTTTTTTTTGCAGTACGTGGGCCTCTCACTGTTGTGGCCTCTCCCATTGCAGAGCACAGGCTCCAGATGCATAGGCTCAGCGGCCATGGCTCACAGGCCCAGCCGCTTCACAGCATGTGGGATACTCCCGGACCAGGGCACGAACCTGTGTCCCCTGCATCGGCAGGCGGACTCTCAACCACTGCGCCACCAGGGAAGCCCTATTTGTAGACTTTTTTTTTTCTTTTTCTTTTTTTTGTGTGTGTGTGTGTGGTACGCGGGCCTCTCACTGTTGTGGCCTCTCCCGTTGCGGAGCACAGGCTCCAGACGTGCAGGCTCAGTGGCCATGGCTCACGGGCCCAGCCGCTCTGCAGCATGTGGGATCTTCCCAGACCGGGGCATGAACCTGTGTCCCCTGCATCAGCAGGCGGACTCTCAACCACTGCACCACCAGGAAAGCCCTATTTGTAGACTTTTTAACGTTTGCCATTCTGACTGGTGTGAGGTGGTACCTCATTGTAGTTTTGATTTGCATTTCTCTAATAATTAGCAATGTTGAGCGTCTTTTCATGTGCCTATTGGCCATCTGCATTTCTTCTTTGGAGAAATGTCCATTTAGGTCTTCTGTCCAGTTTTTGCTTGGGTTGTTTGTTTTTTTCTTATTGAGTTGTGTGAGCTGTTGGTATACACCCTTGTTGGTTGCATCATTTACAAATATTTTCTCCCAGTCCATAGGTTGAGTAGTTGTAATTTCTTGCATTCCTAGTATACTTAAATCAGAGTACAACAGTTAAATGAACTAAATTTTCCAAAAAGCTTTCTTTATTATTGCTACACCACCCATGTAACAGCCACCTAAAGGAAACATTGATTAATCGGGACCGTGAGATAAGCAGCCTCCGGCGCCAGCTTGATGCAGCTCACAAGGAACTTGATGAAGTAGGAAGATCTAAAGAAATGTCTTTTAAGGAAAACAGGAGATTACAGGATGATCTGGCTACAGTGGCAAGAGAAAACCAGGTATGAGCACAAAGCATAAACTTTGATAGTTTTATAGTATACCGTTATACAATATATTCGTTGTTTGCTAAATTTTAAAGCTTTAAATATGCTTTCTAAATTTTAATTATATAAAATCAACAACAAAAGAAATAATTCTTTAAGGAGAATAGTGTTTATAAGGGTATTTTAAAATGTGGTTTAGAATGCTGCGGTATATTACAGGGTGTGTAATGGGTACAACTGTAGTCCTCTCACCATTGTGGTCTTTGTTGCAAGGAATCCTGAAGCTGGGAGCATGGTGTTCTCTGTGGCAGAAGTCAGTGTTACCCTACTGGGTGAGGACCTCAGCATCACTCCCAGGGCAAAGTTGCTGTGTTTTAAAGACCCATGATAGATTTTAATTATTCGTACTTACTTCCAGTGGCTTAGAGATATGCCTGTAAGTTAATTAATGAATATTTTAGAATGGCAAATACTAAAAGGTATTGGTTTTGTTTGTGCTGGTTTATTAAAGGATTATACCAAGAAAACCAATAATTTTCTTATTTTAAATATTTTATTTTTTAAAATTATTCGTTATAGAGTATATTGCTGATATATAAATTTTTAAAAATGTCAACCCCTGAGCGTAGCTAGCCCTTAGTTTAAATACCAGATATGTGGTCACATATATTGTGGGAGGTATATGGTAATATTTGGTTAAAAAGTCAAGATCAGTCAAGAAAAACGTGAAAGTAACGGTCAGGAACAGTTTTCCTTTTTTCCTACTCTCATTCCCCAAATTCAGAAAGAGCTATTTGAACATAAATAGAACTCATTAGGTGCTACGTTCATTTTAGATTTGTCTTCAATTTTCTGATTTATAGCAAATTTCATTGGAATTAGAAGCAGCAGTGCAAGAAAAAGAAGAAATGAAGAGTAGAGTTCATAATTACATAACTGAAGTGTCACGATGGGAGAGCTTAATGGCTGCTAAGGTGAAAAAACATTGTTTAGGTTGGATTTAAGACTGATTTTTTTTTTTTAACTTTTTCATGTTTCTTTATTCTGTCTCCTCTATTAGATATTAACATATGAAAGTGGAGATCTTGCTTACTGTCTTTGTATATTTTCTTACAGATCTTACTTAGTATAGTGTCTGCACAGATAGCTTATGCTTCCTAAATTAAAACAAAAATCCCAGTGTGTGTATATGTTTATGACATGGGTATTCCAGTGAGTAATGATGACTAATTTAGAAACAATTTAATTGCGGTTAAACCAGGAAAGAGAAAATCAAGATTTGTTAGATAGATTTCAGATGCTTCATGACCGTGCTGAAGACTGGGAGGTCAAAGCCCATCAAGCTGAGGGAGAAAGCAGCTCAGTTCGACTGGAACTTCTTTCTATTGACACCGAGAGGAGACACCTTCGAGAAAGAGTGGAGCTACTAGAAAAAGAAATTCAGGAGGTAATATATTCATTTGTCTTACACACAGAATTTAGTAAAACAGAAAACATTCAAAGGCACTTTATTGAAGTGAGGTTTAAGCATTGGTAAAAATCAAGTTCAATGGTAATCTGTCATTCTGATAATTTGCTTAGCAGAGCCCCATTACTTTTATATTGTAAGTAAAATATAAATAATATCGAATTTATCATTATAACCATTTTTAAGTATACAGTGGCAATTAGTACATGCATACTGTTGTGCAACTATCACCACCATCCTTCTCCAAAACTTTTTCATCTTCCCCAGTTAAAACTCTGTACCCATTAAATACTAACTAGCTCCCCATTCTCCCCTCCCCCAGCCACTGACAACCACCATTCTACTTTCTCTCTCTATGAATTTGACTACTCCATGTCCCTCTTATAAGTGGAGTCATACAATATTTGTCTTTTTGTGACTGAATTATTTTACTTAGGCCTAAGGTTCACTTAAATCTCAAGGTTCACCCATGTTGTAGCATGTGTCAGAATTTCATTCCTTTTTAAGGCTGAATAATATCCCACTGTATGCATATACAACATTCTAAACATTCATCTGTCAATGAACATTTGGTTTGTTTCCATCTTTGGCTATTGAAAATAATGCTGCTATGAACTTGAATGTACAATATCTATTCAAGTCTTTATTTTCAGTTCTTTAGGATATACCCAGACGTGGAATTACTGGATCATATTGTAATTTTATGTTTAATTTTTTGAATAACCACCATACAGTTTTTCACAGGGGCTGCACCATTTTACATTCCCACCTGCAATGTTAGGCTTCCAGTTTCTCCACATCTTCACCAATGCTTGTTATTTTCTGGGGTTTTTTGTTTTGTTTTTTTTTTTGTTTTAATAATGACCATCCCAATGGGAGTGAAGTGGTATTTCATTTTGGTTTTGACTTGTATTTTCTTAATAATTAGTGATGTTGAGCATATTTTGTGTGTTTATTGGTCATTTGTATATTTTCTTTGGAGAAATATCTATTCAAATCCTTTGCCTAATTTTTTAATTTTTTTTCGGTACGCGGGCCTCTCACTGTTGTGGCCTCTCCCGCTGCAGAGCACAGGCTCTGGACGTGCAGGCCCAGCAGCCATGGCTTATGGGCCCAGCCGCTCCACGGCATGTGGGATCTTCCCGGACCAGGGCACGAACCCGTGTCCCCTGCTCAACCACTGCGCTACCAGGGAAGCCCCTTTGCCTAGTTTTTAATCAGGTTGTTTTCTGTTGTTGTTGAGTTGTAGGAATTGTTTGTATATTCTGGATTTCAATCCCTTATTAGATATGTGATTTGTGAATATTTTCTCCCATCTCATGGCTTACCTTGTCACTCAGTTTTATCCTTTGATGCACAAGAGTTTTAAATTTTGATGAAGTCCAATTTATCTATTTTTTTCTTCTTGCCTGTATTTTTGGTGTCGTATCTAAGAAATAGTTGCTAAATCCAACATAATGAAGCTTTTCCCCTGTGTTTTCTATGCGTTTTATAGTTTTAGCTCTTATGTTGAGGTCTTTGATCCATTTTGAGTTAATTTTTATACATGATATAAGGTAAGGTTCCAACTTCATTCTTTTGCATGTGGATTTAAATAAGCTTTTGTCATAAAGACAGTCTAATAAAAATCTCTTAGGGCTTCCCTGGTGGCGCAGTGGTTGAGAGTCCGCCTAACGATGCAGGGGACACGGGTTCGTGCCCCAGTCCGGGAGGATCCCACATGCCGTGGAGCGGCTGGGCCCGTGAGCCATGGCCGCTGAGCCTGCGCGTCCGGAGCCTGTGCTCCGCAACGGGAGAGGTCACAACAGTGAGAGGCCCGCGTACTGAAAAAAAAAAAAAAAAAAAGTCTCATAATAAAATTTTGAGTTTAGTTAAAATGTAGGGACCCTAAATAAGTTAGATTGATAAGGAACAGTTGGCTATTAGTTCTACCTTTGTTTTGTTTTGTTGGTATAGTATCGTAGTTGGTCTTTATTTTTTAGAAGAAAGTAATGATTATCTGTAGTGCGTAGAATTATGCACCCCTCCCCCAAAAAATATATTTAGGTCCTAGCTCCCAGTACCTGTGAATGTGACCTTATTTGGAAATAGCATCTTTGCAGATTTAATCAAGTTAAAATGAGGTGGGCTTCCCTGGTGGCACAGTGGTTGAGAATCCGCCTGCCAGTGCAGGGGACACGGGTTCAAGCCCTGGTCTGGGAAGATCCCACATGCCGCGGAGCAACTAAGCACGTGCACACAACTACTGAGCCTGCACTCTAGAGCCCACGAGCCACAACTACTGAAGCCCGTGCGCCTAGAGCCCGTGCTCCGCAACAAGAGAAGCCACTGCAATGAGAAGCCTGTGCACCGTAACGAAGACTAACCCCCACTTGCCGCAACTGTAGAAAAGCCCGTGCACAGCAATGAAGACCCAATGCAGCCAAAAATAAAGAAATATTTTTTAAAAAGGTTAAAATGAGGTGACACTGGGTAGGATGGACCCTAATCTGATAACTGGTGTCCTTGTAAAATAAGGGAGATTCAGACACAGAAGACACAGGGGAGAATCCCATATGAGGATAGAGGCAGAGATTGAAATGATGTGCCTGCCAAGGCAAGGAACCCCAAGGATTGCCAGCAATCACTTGAGCTGGGAGAGAGGTGTGGAAAAGATTCTCGTTCAGAACCTCCAGAAGGAACCGATCCTGCTGACATCTGGATTTCAGACTTGTGGCCTCCAGAACTGAGAGGGAATACATTTCTGTTGTTTCAAGCTGTCTAGTTTCTGGTAATTCGTTATGGCAGCGTTGAGAAACTAGTACAGATTTTGGTACCAGGAAGTGGGATGCTTTTGTAACAAACCTAAAAAGGGTCTTTGGAATTGGGTACAGGCTGGAAGAGTTTTGTAATGAGTACAGGCTGGAAGAGTTTTGAGGTGCCTGATAGAAAAGTCTAGACAACCTTGAAAAGTTTGTAGATAGAAAGATGAATATTAAAGGCATTTCTGGTGAGAACTCAGAAAAAAAGAGGAGGGCTTGCCTGGTGGCGCAGTGGTTGAGAGTCCGCCTGCTGATGCAGGGGACGCAGGTTTGTGCCCCGGTCCGGGAGGATCCCACATGCCGCGGAGTGGCTGGGCCTGTGAGCCATGGCCGCTGGGCCTGCGCGTCCGGAGCTGTGCTCCACAGCGGGAGAGGCCACAGCAGTGAGAGGCCCACGTACCGCAAAAAAAAAGAGAAAAAGAGGAAAGCTGCAGAGAAAACTTCTATTATTTACAAAATACATAAATCGTCATGAATGGAATTTGTCCAGAAATAAGAATGTTTCTTCTAGTGAGGTCTCAGATGGAATTGAGGAACATGTTATTGGACACTGGAGAAAAGGTAGTTCTTATTATAAAATGGCAGAGGACTTGGCTGAATTATGGTATACTCTTAGGAAAGTAGAACTTATAAGTTATGAACTTGGATATTTAGCTGAGGAAATTTCCAAGCAGAGTATGAAAGGTGCAACCTGGTTTCTCCTTGCTGCTTATAGTAAGATGTGAAGGAAAGAGACAGATTGAAGAAGGAATTGCTAAGCAAAAAAAGAGCCGGGACTTGATAATTTGGAAAAGTCTTAGCCTATCCAGATAGCGTGTTCTGGAGGCAGGGCCGAGAGTGTGGCTAGGCAAAGAGAGTAGGTGAGTGACTCATAGACCCAACCAATCACCTCAGCAGAAACACTGCCAGCTTGGGCTGAAAGGGACAGAAACAGGATACAAGGAAAGAAGGTTAAACTTCTTGGATCCTACTAACAGAAAACAGGCCACTAGAGTTATGAACATATGTTCTCCTTCAAGAAAAGGGAAGAATGAAGGTGGCTCAGAGATCAGCAGGGCTGCCAAGGGCAGCTCAAAAGCTGGTGGACCTGCTATGCTACCATAGGCCCAGGGGACTGGGCTATTTCTTCCTTGATTCCAGAAAGCAGTGCCACTGCCACTGTGAGCCAAGAGATGGGGCTATACCTGAGGGCTGAGAAGGTGGGGCTGCCCTAGCAGGTCCAGAGGACAGTGTATCAAGACACAGATAATTATTTTTAGGCCTTGAAATCTAATGGAATTTGCCCTACTTGGCTGCAAGCTTACTTTGGACTAGTAACTTCTTTATTCCTTCTATTTTCTCCCTTTCAGAATGGGACCATTTTATGCCTTTTCCACCATTTTATTTCAGAGGGAGGTAACTTGTTTTCTAGTATCACAGGTCTGTGGAAGGAGAAGAATTTTGCCCCAGGAAGGACCATACCCAGAGTCTAACCCATTCTGACTTAGATAAGATTTTGGACTTAGAGTTGATGCTAGAATGTTGGGATAGAATGAATATATTTTGCACATGGGAAGGACATGAATCTGGGGGAGCCAGAGAGTTGATAGAACTATGGCGCCGCCGCCCCCCCCCCCCCCCACCATACCCAGAGTCTAACCCATTCTGACTTAGATAAGATTTTGGACTTAGAGTTGATGCTAGAATGTTGGGATAGAATGAATATATTTTGCACATGGGAAGGACATGAATCTGGGGGAGCCAGAGAGTTGATAGAACTATGGCGCCCCCCCCCCCCCCCCCCCGCAAATATATTGAAATGCTAACCACCAGAACCTGTGAATGTGACCTTTTTGGAACTAGGACCTTTGCAGGTGTAATCAATTTAAGATGAGGTCATACTGGACTAGGGCAGGCCATAACCCAATGTTTGGTATCCTTATGAGATAAGAGAAATCTGGACACAGAAGACACAAGGAGAATGTCAAGTGAAGCTGAAGGCAGAGATTTGAGTTATGTGTCTACAAGGCAAGGAACACCAAGGATTGCCAGCAATCACCAAAAGTTTGGAGAGAGGCGTGGAACGGATTCTGCCTCAGAACCTCCAGAAGAAGCCAACTCTGCCAGCATCTAAATTTCAGACTTGTAACCTCCAGAATTGTGAGGGAATAAATTTCTGTTGTTTTAAGCCACCCAGCAATTTGCAGTAATTTGTTACAGCAGTCCTAGGAAATGAATACACTATTTCTGTAAGTTTTTCTGTTAAGAGTATAATAACTAAAGGAATATTTTTCAACCTTCAAAATAGTTCTCAGGAGAAACTATTCTTTAGTTCTTTTATTCTCTGTCATTGTTCATATTCTTATGTGGTATATAAGATTGACTTACATATTTATATTTCTTTGGGGGAATTTTGACTAATTAATTCATTAATATTTGGAAAATCCAAGTACTTTTCTACAATTGTTGAAATTTATTAAATCTTCAGAGCAGTGTATTAGATTTTTAATGTTGATTCATTTTAGTAAAGCTTGTTTAATAATTTAATTTTCAAATGTGGAATTCTTAAATTCTAGAAGTAGAGTTTATATCTGTTTGTATTTATCACTCACATTTTAAATTGTGAAAAATTTTAAATGTGCATTACTTGGGACTTCCCTGGTGGCCCACGTAGTGGTTAAGAATCTGCCTGCCAGTGCAGGGGACATGGGTTCGAGCCCAGGAGTCCAGGAAGATCCCACATGCCACGGAGCAGTGAAGCCTGTGCACCACAACTACTGAGCCTGAGCGCTAGAGCCATGAGCCACAACTACTGAAGCCTGCGTGCCACAACTACTGAAGCCTGTGTGCTGCAACTACTGAAGCCCGCACGCCTAGAGCCCGTGCTCCACAGTAAGAGAAGCCACTGCAATGAGAAGCCCGCACACCGCAACCAAGAGTAGCCCCCGCTCACCACAACTAGAGAAAGCCTGTGTGCAGCAACGAAGACCCAACGCAACGAAAAATAAATAAATTAATTAATTCTTTTTTTTAATGTATATTACTTTAGGAAAGAAGTGTTTATCAGTATTTCAAATTTTGCTCGTTATTTCAATTATTAAAATCTTATAAAGTTGTATACTCTTATTAGGTTAAATTAAATTTAAATATGAGTTTAGGTATATAGTTTTAAAGCAAACTCCATTTTTGAAATTCAGAATTTAAAGGCAATTGAGTGATAAGTATATATGTTACTTTAAAAAGCATTATTATAACAGAGTTTATAAAGGAAAAATTTAATATGACTTAAAAGATCTCTCATGTTCACAACCCTAAAGCAGTAATTTTCATCTTTGCATCTTCCAAATATATACATGAGGTACTTAGTTACCATGATTAATAATTAAACACAGTTTATTTTTTTAAGCATTAAATAGGCCATCTTTAAATAGCAGACAGCTTCCTGAGAGTATCTTAAAATTGCAAAATGTTTAAAATTGCAAAAATTGGCTTTTATAGTTATATAAAGTGACGTTGTAGTTACACAGATTCAAACCTTTAATATTACTGGGTTACTTTAACTTTGTACCTGTTTTCTTATTTTCAGCACATAAATGCACATCATGCTTATGAATCTCAGATCTCATCCATGGCAAAAGCCATGTCTAGATTAGAAGAAGAGCTGAGACACCAAGAAGATGAGAAAGCAGCAGTATTAAATGATGTGTCGTCTCTTAGAGACCTTTGCATTAAGCTTGATTCAGGCAAAGATATTATGACCCAGCAATTGAATTCCAAAAACCTTGAATTTGAGAGGGTAAGAACTTAAAAGATAATATTATAGCGTATTGTTTTTTTATATATAAATTTATTTATTTTACTTATTTATTTTTGGCTGTATTGGGTCTTCATTGCTGCATGTGGGCTTTCTCTAGTTGTGGCGAGTGGGGGCTACTCTTCGTTGCGGTGCGCGGGCTTCTCATTGCAGTGGCTTCTCTTGTTGCAGAGCACGGGCTCTAGGCGCGTGGGCTTCAGTAGCTGTGGCACGTGGGCTTCAGTAGTTGTGGCTCACGGGCTCTAGAGCGCAGGCTTAGTAGTTGTGGCGCACGGGCTTAGTTGCTGTGAGGCATGTGGGATCTTCCAGGACCAGGGCTCGAACCTGTGTCCCCTACATTGGCAGGCAGATTCTTAACCATTGCGCCACCAGGAAGTCCCAGTAGCATATTGTTTTATTCAGCCCTACTCTAATTTGACTACTACATGTTTTGTCGAGGTTTCTTTGGCAAGCATGATGATAAAATTAGGTGCTGTTTTGAAGCAGATGGGTATTTAGGAGAATATGTCTTCTAATTATAGAATAGGAACATATCCCAATACATTCTTTCTCTGCTTAAAAGTAAGACTTATATGAAGAATTGAGCAGTTCATTCCTTTCTAAGTGGAATATTTTTCCTGATAAAAATCTTACTTAATTTTAAAAGTCGAGTTAACTGGAACGTGCCATTCCCAAACCGAAGCATTACTTTAAACAACCCAATGTGTTGGGTTAAACATGGGTGTTTCCAGTTTTCACTTATTTAGTAGTAACTTTATTTTCAGGTACTGAGAAGCTTCAAGACTGGTTTGACTATGTAAACAGAATATACATATTTAATAAACCAGAAGGGCCTCCTTACTGATAGGGTGGCCACATTTTAGGATTTTATGTTAATTACCCTCTCTTGACAAGATAACATGAAAGAAAACTATTTGAGGGTTGGGATAGGTCTTTGCTAAAAATAACAAAGATTATTTTGAAAATAAGATGTTTTTCCTATATGTGCAAAGTATTACAGAATCTTTAATCAGTACCCAGAATGAAGCAACTGATGTGTGTATAGCTCTGCAGATAATTTTTCAGAGTAAGTCTAAACTTATACTGAAGTAATCTTGCTTTGTTTTTCTTGTAGGTTGCAGTGGAATTAGAAAATGTAAAATCAGAATCAGAGCTGTTAAAAAAACAACTGTCAAGTGAGAGACATACGATTAAAAACCTTGAATCATTGTTGGCTACAAATAGAGATAAGGAATTTCATTCCCATTTAACCTCCCGCGAGAAGGATACAGAAATTCAGCTACTTAAAGAGAAGTTGACCCTTTCAGAAAGCAAATTGTAAGCATCATGAATCAACTTATGTGAGGAAAATAGCTTGTCACAAATAATTTTTAAATATGAATAATTTTATAGATTTGTAGCATAAAACAAATGATAGAAAAATAGTGGAGGAACCAAAGAAATTTTGTTTTCGAAGTGTTGGGGGACTGGGGGATGGGAGTGCAAAGCAAAGTATTTTGATTACATGGCCGCTGCTTTGGGAAACTCAGGGGGTTTAGCTCAGAAGAGACATCATGTTTGGGCGTGTAATTTGTATATGTTCTCCACAGAGGTGGTACCCGTGGAAGTGAATGAGTGGACTTTAGAAAAATACCTAAATTTGAGGAATGAAGAGAGAAGTCAGCGAAGGGGAGAGCATTTCAGAATGGGGAGAGTTGGCTGTGTTTCATGCTATGGATTAGGAAAAAGACTTTGAAAAGGCCATGAGGGCTTCCCTGGTGGCGCAGTGGTTGAGAGTCCACCTGCCAATGCAGGGGACACGGGTTCGTGCCCCGGTCCGGGAAGATCCCATATGCCGCTGAGCTGCTGGGCCCGTGAGCCGTGGCCGCTGAGCCTGCACGTCCGGACCCTGTGCGCCACACGGGAGAGGCCACAGCAGTGAGAGGCCCGCGTACCGAAAGGAAAAAAAAAAAAAAAAAAAGACCATGAAATTTGACCCTCGTAATATTGATTACCTTTTAGGAGATTGATAATGGAGAAGTTTGGGCATATTTTTGGAAGAAGGGAGGAAACACAGAGTAGATAGTATGAGTGGAATAATTAACTTTTAAAAGGAATTAGAAATATATCTCTTTCTGAGGTAGGAGTCAAGAAGGAGCCAATAAAGATACTTTACTTTTTGATGTTACAATTCATGTCTTCTCACATTTGTATCTCCAGCATTGCTGCAGTGCCTAGCACATACTAGAAGCTTAGTAAATGTTCGTTAAATAAATGTGATGAATGAAAAAGAAAACTTTGTGATAGAAGCTCCAGAAGTTTATGGAATTATTGTTGGAAAGTCTTCTCTTTTTTTCATCCTTATATGTCACCTCCATTTGTATTTATTAATAACAAAAACAGAAATCCATAGCACTTGATGCTATAAAACAGAATATTTATTTGATTTTCTAAATTTGTTTTTAAGAAATAGTCAAAGCCGGGAAAACACCATGCTTCGGGCTAAAATGGCACAATTACAAACAGATCTTGATGTTCTGAAAAGGCAGATTTCAACTGAAAGATATGAACGGTAAGAATATATTTTTAGCGTTGAACAGCGTTTTTATTTATTCCCTATTCTATTCCAAAAGGATTTAATATGGCTTACAAATAGCAAACTTTTCTTAGCATTAATATGTAAAATAAATTTTTTTGGTAATTCTTCCTAAAAAGGCAAAAAGTGTTGTAGAAGGTAATATCCCCACAGTAAAGTAGCAAGTATTGTATAAATGTTTGCTGTAGCATTCCTCAGGGCAAAATTAGGGTATTATTTCAAAGGATATAGTTATGGAGTCAGCAAGCTAGTAGGATTCTACAAGAGCCCAAAACATTATGATCTAATAGGAAATTCCAAATACAAATCATCATGAAAGCGGTGATGCTGATGATCTTAAGGGCACTTAACAAATATATGCCAGATACTATGTATGTATCTGATTAACCCTATTAACTATCTATTATTGTGCCTATATTGTTATTAAAAACTAAGGTCACGCAAATAGTAAATAGCAGAGCGAAGACTAAAATCCAAACAGGTTTGTCTAATTTTAAAGCCTGTGCTCTTAATCTTTTCAGTATATTCCCTACAGCTTAGGAATTTTCATAGTCACTTATATTTCAGTTCATTTGCTTTATTATGTTGAAAATTTTAATCTCCAAGTGTTACAAACAGGAATGAGACCTTGCTTTAACAGTTAAAATCCAAGTCTAATTTGTGAATCAATTTGTCAATTTACTTTTCTTCCATTATTCTTTCCTACTGTATTAATACCATAGGCATCAGCATTCCTAAGATTTCATTCTCAAATAGTGGTCAGATTGCTTATTTAGGTCAATATTTTGAGTTCTCTAATCTTATTCTTAACCATTTGCTTGTGCAATTTGGATTATAGATGGAATTTGCTAGGAAATCAATATTTGTGATTTCAAAGAGAAATGAAGCCTGAGGTTGCATCAGTGTCATGAAAGCAGTGTTGTTAATTTCTTGGAATTTAGAAGATTTATTTTCTGAATGTACTAAACTGTATATGTGTAATGATTTTCATTTATTAATGACACCTGAAATTCTCTTCAATTCAGGGGTCCTAAACCAAGCTCTCTGTTGCCTAGGGTTATAGACTCCCCTAATTCTTCTCCTTTTTCCTTGCCCCTGGTCCCCAAAGAAACCTTGACCCACATGACCATGTCTTTCCTTCTCTTTACCATGCAACTAGATCATGCATTTTTAAAGAGGCAATATTGTCACTGCAGGGAACAATATGGATTCTTGGGGAAGAGGGAATGGCAAAGAAACCTTAGGTACTACAGTGATTTATGGCCCTCGGAAGGGCCACAGTATATTAACAGTGTATCTATGTATTAAAATCTGATGTATTAAAATTGGACGGAGGGGGAATAATTTGGAGAGGGGCATCTAAAGAAGTTTTTGTAGGGGATTATAATGAAAAAAGTTTGTGAAGCACCCATCTAGGTAGAAATCCTAGGTACCGAAGAGCTCAAGTCAGAAAGTCTGGGCCAGGGACTGTGAGTAGCCCACAGTAGAGGTGGCAACACAGTCATCATGCTTTGTGGGGCAGACCCAGACATAACAGAAAGTAGATTATTTTACTTCTAATATTTGGGCGTTTTGAGACAGGAAGGAAGAGGACTAGATTTATGTGCAAGAAGAGGTGGGAAAGGTAGGGGCAGAGAGGGGAACCAACCAACTTTGAAAATCTATATTCAGAGGGGCTTTGAACAATCTCTTAAAGTACATATTCCTTTAATTGGCATCTTTTATCCTCAACTTAAAAATGATATAAAGACAGAATTTATTTATTTGTTTGCTTGTTTGTTTATGGCTGCGTTGGGTCTTCGTTGCTGCGTGGGCTTTCTCTAGTTGCGGTGGCAGGCAGGGGCTACTCTTCATTGAGGTGTGCAGGCTTCTCAATGCGGTGGCTTCTCTTGTTGCGGAGCACGGGCTCTAGGCGTGCGGGCTTCAGTAGTTGTGGCACGTGGGCTCAGTAGTTGTAGCTCACGGGCTCTAGAACGCCAACCCAGCAGTTGTGGCACACGGGCTTAGTTGCTCCACGGCATGTGGGATCGTCCTGGACCAGGGCTCAAACCTGTGTCCCCTGCATTGGCAGGCAGATTCTTAACCACTGTGCCACCCGGGAAGTCCCTTCAAAGGATTTAAATTTAGTAGAAATACTAATTAATCAATTGAGTAGAAATTACTTAACTAATAACAATAACAGGACCTTTTATTTGTTGACCACTTTTTGGTATAATCTCTTATTTTGTCTTTATTGACAGAGAACGAGCAATCCAAGAGATGCGTCGGCACGGTCTTCGCACACCACCCCTTAGTTCTACTCTGAAGTCTCCTTTACATTCTCCTGAACATATAAACTGATTATCAGAAAGGTATGTATGTAACACCAAGTACAAGCAAAACTTATCTCTGGTTATAAAAATTACAAGAGTTGTTTTCTGTGTGGGGGGAGAGGAGATTGCCTATAAAGGTGGTAGGGAACTTTCAGAGGTAATGTAATGTGCTGTGTCATGGTGGTGATGGTTACACGGCTGTATACAATTGTAAAACTTCGTTGAACTGAACGTTTACAGTCCATGTATTTTATTGTACATAAATTATACCTTAATTAAAAAAGAAGACATCTGGGGACTTCCCTGGTGGTCCAGTGGTAAAGAATCTGCCTTCCAATGTAGGGGACGTGGGTTTGATCCCTGATCGGGGAACTAAGATCCCACATGCCGTGGCGCAGCTAAGCCCATGCACCACAACTACTGAGCTTGCACGCCTCAGTGAGAGCCTGGGTGCCACAAACTACAGAGCCCACGTGCTCTGGAGCCCACACACCACAACTAGAGAGAGGAAACTCACGCACCACAACTAGAGAGATGCCCACGTGCCGCTACAACTAGAGAGAAAACCTGCACGCCACAACTAGAGAGAAGCCCATGTGCCACTACAACTAGAGAGAGAAAACCCACGCACCACAACTAGAGAGAAGCCCATGCACTGCAAGGAAGAGCCTGCACGCCGCAACGAAAGATCCCGCATGCCTCAATGAAGATCCCACATGCCACAACTAAGACCCGATGCAGATTTAAAAAAAGAGAGAGAAGACATCCACAACAAAAATTAAATGACAGTATATCACAGGGTAATATTTGATGAAGTGCCAAACTCAAGGTACAAGTAACAGATAGTGAAAGTATGGACAAAGACATAGAAAATATTATTTAATATTGAAAGCTAGATATTTTAAGATAAATTATTATATACATACAGAAAAGTGCTATATCATAGGATATACAGCTCAATGAATTTTTACAAACTGAACGCACCTATGCAACCTGCACCCGGATCAAGAAACAAAACATGACCTCTCTTGGGTGTCCTTCTGGTCATAAGCCTTACTCTAAAAGTAACTGTCTCGGTTATTAAAAGCATAGATTTCTTTTGTCTGTTTCTGGACATTTTATAAATGAAATCATATATTTCTGGCTTTTTTTCTCAATAGTACCTCTGTGACATTCATCCATACTGCTGTGTACTTGTAGTTGGTTCAGTCTTGTTGCTGTATAGTATTCCATTATGTGAACGTACCACAGTCCATTTACTCATTCTGTTTTTGATGGGCATTTGATAATTTCCAGTTTGGGCTATTACAGATAGAATTATGATGAACATTCTAGTGCCTTATGTTGGCAAACAGATGTGTGCATGAAAAAAAAAAAAAAAAAAAGACCATGAAATTTGACCCTCGTAATATTGATTACCTTTTAGGAGATTGATAATGGAGAAGTTTGGGCATATTTTTGGAAGAAGGGAGGAAACACAGAGTAGATAGTATGAGTGGAATAATTAACTTTTAAAAGGAATTAGAAATATATCTCTTTCTGAGGTAGGAGTCAAGAAGGAGCCAATAAAGATACTTTACTTTTTGATGTTACAATTCATGTCTTCTCACATTTGTATCTCCAGCATTGCTGCAGTGCCTAGCACATACTAGAAGCTTAGTAAATGTTCGTTAAATAAATGTGATGAATGAAAAAGAAAACTTTGTGATAGAAGCTCCAGAAGTTTATGGAATTATTGTTGGAAAGTCTTCTCTTTTTTTCATCCTTATATGTCACCTCCATTTGTATTTATTAATAACAAAAACAGAAATCCATAGCACTTGATGCTATAAAACAGAATATTTATTTGATTTTCTAAATTTGTTTTTAAGAAATAGTCAAAGCCGGGAAAACACCATGCTTCGGGCTAAAATGGCACAATTACAAACAGATCTTGATGTTCTGAAAAGGCAGATTTCAACTGAAAGATATGAACGGTAAGAATATATTTTTAGCGTTGAACAGCGTTTTTATTTATTCCCTATTCTATTCCAAAAGGATTTAATATGGCTTACAAATAGCAAACTTTTCTTAGCATTAATATGTAAAATAAATTTTTTTGGTAATTCTTCCTAAAAAGGCAAAAAGTGTTGTAGAAGGTAATATCCCCACAGTAAAGTAGCAAGTATTGTATAAATGTTTGCTGTAGCATTCCTCAGGGCAAAATTAGGGTATTATTTCAAAGGATATAGTTATGGAGTCAGCAAGCTAGTAGGATTCTACAAGAGCCCAAAACATTATGATCTAATAGGAAATTCCAAATACAAATCATCATGAAAGCGGTGATGCTGATGATCTTAAGGGCACTTAACAAATATATGCCAGATACTATGTATGTATCTGATTAACCCTATTAACTATCTATTATTGTGCCTATATTGTTATTAAAAACTAAGGTCACGCAAATAGTAAATAGCAGAGCGAAGACTAAAATCCAAACAGGTTTGTCTAATTTTAAAGCCTGTGCTCTTAATCTTTTCAGTATATTCCCTACAGCTTAGGAATTTTCATAGTCACTTATATTTCAGTTCATTTGCTTTATTATGTTGAAAATTTTAATCTCCAAGTGTTACAAACAGGAATGAGACCTTGCTTTAACAGTTAAAATCCAAGTCTAATTTGTGAATCAATTTGTCAATTTACTTTTCTTCCATTATTCTTTCCTACTGTATTAATACCATAGGCATCAGCATTCCTAAGATTTCATTCTCAAATAGTGGTCAGATTGCTTATTTAGGTCAATATTTTGAGTTCTCTAATCTTATTCTTAACCATTTGCTTGTGCAATTTGGATTATAGATGGAATTTGCTAGGAAATCAATATTTGTGATTTCAAAGAGAAATGAAGCCTGAGGTTGCATCAGTGTCATGAAAGCAGTGTTGTTAATTTCTTGGAATTTAGAAGATTTATTTTCTGAATGTACTAAACTGTATATGTGTAATGATTTTCATTTATTAATGACACCTGAAATTCTCTTCAATTCAGGGGTCCTAAACCAAGCTCTCTGTTGCCTAGGGTTATAGACTCCCCTAATTCTTCTCCTTTTTCCTTGCCCCTGGTCCCCAAAGAAACCTTGACCCACATGACCATGTCTTTCCTTCTCTTTACCATGCAACTAGATCATGCATTTTTAAAGAGGCAATATTGTCACTGCAGGGAACAATATGGATTCTTGGGGAAGAGGGAATGGCAAAGAAACCTTAGGTACTACAGTGATTTATGGCCCTCGGAAGGGCCACAGTATATTAACAGTGTATCTATGTATTAAAATCTGATGTATTAAAATTGGACGGAGGGGGAATAATTTGGAGAGGGGCATCTAAAGAAGTTTTTGTAGGGGATTATAATGAAAAAAGTTTGTGAAGCACCCATCTAGGTAGAAATCCTAGGTACCGAAGAGCTCAAGTCAGAAAGTCTGGGCCAGGGACTGTGAGTAGCCCACAGTAGAGGTGGCAACACAGTCATCATGCTTTGTGGGGCAGACCCAGACATAACAGAAAGTAGATTATTTTACTTCTAATATTTGGGCGTTTTGAGACAGGAAGGAAGAGGACTAGATTTATGTGCAAGAAGAGGTGGGAAAGGTAGGGGCAGAGAGGGGAACCAACCAACTTTGAAAATCTATATTCAGAGGGGCTTTGAACAATCTCTTAAAGTACATATTCCTTTAATTGGCATCTTTTATCCTCAACTTAAAAATGATATAAAGACAGAATTTATTTATTTGTTTGCTTGTTTGTTTATGGCTGCGTTGGGTCTTCGTTGCTGCGTGGGCTTTCTCTAGTTGCGGTGGCAGGCAGGGGCTACTCTTCATTGAGGTGTGCAGGCTTCTCAATGCGGTGGCTTCTCTTGTTGCGGAGCACGGGCTCTAGGCGTGCGGGCTTCAGTAGTTGTGGCACGTGGGCTCAGTAGTTGTAGCTCACGGGCTCTAGAACGCCAACCCAGCAGTTGTGGCACACGGGCTTAGTTGCTCCACGGCATGTGGGATCGTCCTGGACCAGGGCTCAAACCTGTGTCCCCTGCATTGGCAGGCAGATTCTTAACCACTGTGCCACCCGGGAAGTCCCTTCAAAGGATTTAAATTTAGTAGAAATACTAATTAATCAATTGAGTAGAAATTACTTAACTAATAACAATAACAGGACCTTTTATTTGTTGACCACTTTTTGGTATAATCTCTTATTTTGTCTTTATTGACAGAGAACGAGCAATCCAAGAGATGCGTCGGCACGGTCTTCGCACACCACCCCTTAGTTCTACTCTGAAGTCTCCTTTACATTCTCCTGAACATATAAACTGATTATCAGAAAGGTATGTATGTAACACCAAGTACAAGCAAAACTTATCTCTGGTTATAAAAATTACAAGAGTTGTTTTCTGTGTGGGGGGAGAGGAGATTGCCTATAAAGGTGGTAGGGAACTTTCAGAGGTAATGTAATGTGCTGTGTCATGGTGGTGATGGTTACACGGCTGTATACAATTGTAAAACTTCGTTGAACTGAACGTTTACAGTCCATGTATTTTATTGTACATAAATTATACCTTAATTAAAAAAGAAGACATCTGGGGACTTCCCTGGTGGTCCAGTGGTAAAGAATCTGCCTTCCAATGTAGGGGACGTGGGTTTGATCCCTGATCGGGGAACTAAGATCCCACATGCCGTGGCGCAGCTAAGCCCATGCACCACAACTACTGAGCTTGCACGCCTCAGTGAGAGCCTGGGTGCCACAAACTACAGAGCCCACGTGCTCTGGAGCCCACACACCACAACTAGAGAGAGGAAACTCACGCACCACAACTAGAGAGATGCCCACGTGCCGCTACAACTAGAGAGAAAACCTGCACGCCACAACTAGAGAGAAGCCCATGTGCCACTACAACTAGAGAGAGAAAACCCACGCACCACAACTAGAGAGAAGCCCATGCACTGCAAGGAAGAGCCTGCACGCCGCAACGAAAGATCCCGCATGCCTCAATGAAGATCCCAC